CAGCTGGAAACCATCATTCTCAGCAAACTATCGCAAGAACAGAAAACCAAACACCGCATGTTCTCACTCATAGGTGGGAACTGAACAATGAGATAACTTGGACTTGGGAAGAGGAACATCACACACTGGGGCCTATCATGGGGAGGGGGGAGGGGGGAGGGATTGCATTGGGAGTTATACCTGATGTAAATGACGAGTTGATGGGTGCTGATGAGTTGATGGGTGCAGCACACCAACATGGCACAAGTATACATATGTAACAAACCTGCACATTATGCACATGTACCCTAGACCTTAAAGTATTAAAAAAAAAAAAAAAAAAAAGCTATGTCGATACAGAAATGTATGAAGAGACATAGAACTTAGCTTGTATATATTCTTCCTCTTTTCTCCAACATTAATCAAACTATTATTTGGGGGTATCAAGTAGAGCTTTACAAGTAAAATGGGGAGAAATAGAGAAACAGGAATGAAAGTAGGTACAGCGCTTAGTAACTAGTTTGGGTGAACTGACTTTAACAAGCGCGCTTTCAACAATACTGGGGAAGCCCAGAGGTCACTGAGCAGGCACGTGAGGGTCATCATGAGGGATCAGAGATGATGGGAGAGCTCAGAAAGTTAAGCCTGGAGATGGAGTTGGGTTAGCTTCAAATATTTGCCAGGCAGCCTGGGGAAGGGGGCTAAACTTTATGTAGGCTTGATCCAGATGGTTAAAAAAGGCTAAGCGTAGATATACATATATGATAGATATATATTAGAAAACAAGTTTTGGGGCAAAAGAAGAAGTTTTCAAATAAGTTGGAGCTCTCCTCCAAAAGAACGGCTGATTCCTAATAAAGCAGTGAGTTCCCTGTCATGGGATGCGTTCAAGAAGAACTGACCATCTGTCGAGAATAACATGGAGAAGAGTCTGGCTTTAGATAAACTCTGAGCATCAATTCAGTGCTCAGACTGAAGACTTATAAGCAAGAACAGTCACAAAGATAGAAAATGAGATGGAATAGGGGTGGCTTAAGGTCTTGTTACAAGTAGGAGTAAAGATATAACAAGAATGTTCTAGAGAAGATTTTAAATCATGAGTGGGAGGATCAGAAGCCTGTCACATTTCTCTCATTTGATTCTTCATATGACATCTGACTGGCCCATGAAGAAAGTTGTAATCAATGATCTCCAGGTCTCAGCTCTGGGATCCTACAGGTCGGTACGACCACCTCATCAGCTCTGCAGCTGAGATGGTAACGTGACCCTCTCCTGTGGGTGGAACAGACTGGAATTTGTCAAGAGTTTACCAAACTAGAATGAACAGGGGTCTAAAATCAAAGTTTGGTTTAGTCCCTGGAAAGTCATGTTTGACAAAACATAATACCATGGGGTTTTCCTTCTTCCTTCCTGATAAGAAGGAAATAAAGTGCTGTAAACTTTGCACTTTATTTTCTTTCCACGTGCAGCATTAAAATGAAATAATTTTCCTCCTTGATTTAAAAGATTAATTTTGTTTCCTCTGTTAAGAAAAAAGTTGTTTCAATAATGCATTTGAAATTACAGACCCCGATGTCTTCTGTTCAAATTGTTTTACCTGCAATGGGCTGGCTCTCCCATGCCTTATTTTGAGAAACCCTGCAAAACTCCAAAAGCAAAGGGAAAAATCCAGTAATAATTATTCCCTCATCAATGGGTCCTCCATCTTGCACAATAATTCAAAGAAACTCAAAGTCTTAGAATCAAAAGCTGGAGCCTTAAAGTTGATGGTCATGGTAATGATAACAGTCATTGCCATTTATTCAACATGTTCTTTATGCCAGGATATGTGTTAAGCCTTGTGATGGTTAATACTGAGTGTCAACTTGATTGGATTGAAGGATGCAAAGTATTGTTCCTGGGTATGTATATGAGGGTGTTGCCAGAGGAGATCAACATTTGAGTCAGGGGACTGGGAGAGGCAGACCCACCCTCAGTCTGGGTGGCACCATCTAATCAGCTGACAGCATAAAAGTAGGAATGAAAAGAGCAGACTTGCTGAGTGTTCTGGCCTTCATCTTTCTCCCATGTTGGATGCTTCCTGCCCTTGAACATCAGACTCCAGGTTCTTCGGCTGTTGGACTCTTGGACTTACACCAGTGATCTGCCAGGGGCTCTCTGGCCTTTGGCCACAGACAGAAGGTTACCCTGTTGGCTTCTCTATTTTTGAGGTTTTGGGACTTGGACTGGCTTCCCGGCTCCTTAGCCTGCAGATGGCCTATTGTGGGACTTCACTTTGTGATCGTGTGAGTCAATATTCCTTAATAAATTCCCCCTCATATATTCATCTATCCTATTAGTTTTGTCTCTTTAGAGAACCTGGACTAATACAAGCCCTCTTAAATATACTATCTCATTTAAGCCTCAGGACAATCCTGAGAAGCAAATAACAATGACCATACTTTATGGATGAGGAAATCCTATTCTAGAGGCTGAGGAGAGTTGAGTACTTTAGCCTGAAGTGCCACAGAAGCTAGGCAGCAGAGCTGGGATTTAAATCCAGGCAATCTGACATGATGCCAAGCTGCCTCCACTAGGTATCACACTGTCCAGGCATCTTTCAACTTTCTTTGTAGCATTAGAAGCCCCACCTTTTTTTCCTCCAAAGGAAGATTTACACAGAACCTTAAGACACATACCCAATCAAAATTGAGTTTCTTTGGCAAATAAATACACAAAGAAGAAGTGTTCAAAGCCAGCCCCCACCACCTGAAGCGACAATGAGGAATCCTAAGGTCCCCTGGAACTCAGTTTGTAAACCAGAAGTCTAGTCCAACTCCCTCATTTTAGGGAAAAAGAAGAACCGAGGCTGAGAGCAGTACTGTGGCTCAGCCACGGTACTACTTTGTGGCTGGTTGTAGATTTGAACTCAGTTTTTCCCCAAGGTGTCTTGAAAGAGTTAGGAACCTCAGCTTCACCTTTCAGGTAGCCTCTGGCCTGCAATGTGCTTAAAACCATTCAAAGCTGTTTCCTACCTGTCTGTTGTTCTGAAAAAGCAGAACTGAACTTGGGCAACCTTGTATCCTTGAATCTAAATTATCATTATCCTTCCCAAATTAATATTTAAAAAATACACCTGTGGCAGACATTACCAGTTGTCACCCAAATGGTGTTCTCCTCTTCTTGGTGAAACCCAATCTCTACTAAAAATACAAAAATTAGCCGAGCGTGGTGGTGCACGCCCTGTAATCCCAGCTACTTCGGAGGCTGAGGCAGGAGAATTGCTTGAACCCAGGAGGTGGAGGTTGCAGTGAGCCGAGATCGTGCCACTGCACTCCAGCCTGGCGACAGAGCAAGACTCTGTCTCAAAAAGAAAAGAAGAAAGAAAGAAAAGAAAGAAAGAAGGAAGGAAGGAAGGAAGGAAGGAAGGAAGGAAGGAAGGAAGGAAGGAAGGAAGGAAGGAAGGAAGGAAGGAAGGAAGGAAGGAAAGAAAGAAAAAGAAAGAAAGAAAGAAAGAAAGAAAGAAAGAAAGAAAGAAAGAAAGAAAGAAAGAAAGAAAGAAAGAGAAAGAGAGAGAGAGAGAAAGAAAGAAAGAAAGAAAGAAAGAAAGAAAGAAAGAAAGAAAGAAAGAAAGAAAGAAAGAAAGAAAGAAAGAAAGAAAGAAAGAAAGAAGGAAAGCAAGCAAGCAAGCAAGAGCACCCAGTTGCTCAGGACCCAATCCTGGGCACCAACACAGCACGAGCAAGTGGGCACCTGAACATCCGCTTATGTGACTAACGGTCAGCCTCCAGGGAAACATTTCTCCACATCTCTTGCCCTAGTCCACAAAACAAAAGGCTACTGTGTCCAAGTGTTGTGAAAGACTGGGGATTGTGACATCGCCAACATCAGGGACAGACTCAGAGTACAGGGAGAATCTGAGCAGTGCCAGCCCTTAAGTATTGACTCATCAACTCCTCCCTCAGAGACCAGCAATGTAACAAATTCCTGAATAACCAAGAAATATTGCTTCTCAGAAGGGAAGAATCCTCATTTTCTTGATTCATCTTCCAATTCTTGATTCTACCAGTACCATGTGATAACCACAAGAGTTACATAGGAAAGTTATGGAATAGTTTGCAATATTAAATAATTTGTAACCTTTAAATATATACATATCTAGATAGGTCTAGAGATAATATGTGTGACACATGAAACTGATTTTTAAAAATTTTAAATTTTTGTGGGTATGTAGTAGGTATATATATTTATGAGGTATACGGGATATTTTGATACAGGTGAAACTGATCCTTTACACTGGCAACTACATATACTTAAAAAGTTAGAATTAAAAATAGTTTTATTTTTATAAAAATAATGATTCAAATAAGTGTTTTAAAAATTAAGTAACAATTTCAACCTTATTTAAATTTTAATTTAAAGTTTGGTATTATTCATGTGTTGTGATCTTAAATTTTAGATATTTTAAATACTGTTTAAAACTTTTAAAAAATATTAATTTAGAATGTTTTAATTTTGATTTATTAGTTTAAATCTACATTTTGATGGTAATTCATTCAAATGTGACACACATTTAACTTTTTAGTCTTTCAGGTCCTTACTGACAATTGAACACTAGTTATATTAAACAACATTAATTAAGGATTATTCTGAAATGAAGGCAGGAAAATTTGCTATAGAATACACAATTTATGAATTATATGTATATCTGATTGTTTCATCCAAACATTGTCCATTAGCAGAATACCCAACAGACATAATAATAAATTCTATTACCTTTAACATTTTGCCAACTTTCAATGATATCAAGACCATAGGTTTCCACATGTCATTTTAAAGGTATATTGTCAATATAGTTGAATAGAATACATTAAACAGTAATTTATAACTTTTAATTATTTAGACATGGTATTTCATTCATTTGGCTTCTTGCCCTGAGCTATACAAATGTTAGAAAAGGGGCTGATTTAGAGTCTGTCTTAGGGCAATTAAACTTATGTCCTAAACAATGCAATGCCCTGCTTTACTTCTTCTTCTTTTTGTTTTGACCCTAAACCACCTTTTATTGCGCACTTCAGCCATGAGACTGGGGCCGGCCGGCGCACCCTAGGCCTAGTACTGCAGGTTGGCTTTCTTCTTGGCCTGCACCTCCAGGATGCCTTCCATGTAGTCCTCGTGGGTGAGCTCCATGGCACCCCTGCACAGTGAGATCATGCCCACCTCCACACACACAGCCTTGCACTGAGCCCCGTTGAAATCATCTGTGCAGCGGGCCAGCTCCTCATAGTTTACGTCAGGACTGACATTCATGTTTCGGGAGTGGATCTGCATGATTCTGGCCCGGGCCTCCTCGTTGGGCACTGGGAACTCGATCTTGCGGTCCAGGCGCCCCGAGCAGAGCAGGGCGGGGTCCAGAATGTCCACCCTGTTTGTGGCTGCAGTTACCTTAACTTGGGTGTTGGGCTGGAAACCATCCAGCTGGTTCAGAAGCTTCAGCATTGTCCTCTGCACCTCCCGGTCCCCAGCCTTCTCACTGTCAAAGCGCTTGGTGCCGATGGCATCCAACTCATCAATGAAGATGATAGAGGGTGCTTTCCCTTTGGCCAGGGCAAAGGCCTCCCAGACTAGCTTGGCACCATCTCCAGTGAATATCTGCACAGCTGGGGGCAGCCAGCTTTAGGAAGGTAGCCTTAGTCTGTATGGCACAGACCCAGGCCAGGAGGGTCTTCCCTGTCCCTGGGGGCCCATACATCAGCACCCCTTTTGGAGGTTGGATCCCCAAGTTCTCAAACTTCTCCTTGTGGTTCATTGGCAAGACAATGGCCTCCACCAGTTCTTGGATCTGCTTGTCCAAACCCCCAATGTCACTGTATTGTTCCATGGGCCTCTCATCCACCTCCATGGCCTTCACCCGCAAGTCATACTCTGTTGGCAGCGTCTCCAGGATCAGATAGGAGTCTTTGTTCACACCCACCAGGTCTCCTGGCTTTAGCTTTTCAGCATCACCAACCCAATCACAGGAAGGAAGTACATCTGTCATGTAGAGGTTTTGATCACAGCACACTTGCCCTTCCTCTGGGAGTCCAGGTCAATATGGGCACCATCCTCCTCTTGGTCATTAGTATCAACATCTAGGAGCTCAATGATGTTGGAGACAAGGTATGACAGGGTCTTGTTCACTTTGATTTTCTCACTGTTCTCTTTGATCTTGTCCTTCATGGCTTGGAGCTCATGGGTGACTCTCAACACTTCACTCTTCATGATCTTGATCTCACTGTCCAGTATCTGTGTGTACGAGATGATCTCCCCCGTGGACATCTTGAGCACCTCCTCCCCAATTCCATCTTGCTCGGCCTCATCCCACATGGTCACCATCTTCTCCTGCCGAGTCACTTGCTTTACTTCTTAGATAAGTCAGAGCCCACAATAGTATAAAAGTAAAATGCTAATTGAAATCATAAAAATAATTCATTGGTTATTATTCTACAACCTATGTATGTGTATATAAGACTTACAGTCTCTGTAGAACTATGTGTCACACAAGGGTTGTTTTGACACAATCAGTGTTTGCATATAAGTGCATGCATTAGTTACCAATTGCTTTGTAACAAATCACTATAAATTTAGCAGCTTAAAACAACACATATTAATAACATCCCAGTTTCTGTGGGTAAAGAGTGTAGACACAATTTAGTTGGGTCCTCTGCTCAGGGGTTACAAGGCTTCAATCAAAGTGTCAAATGGGCTGCATTCTCATCTGGAGGCTTGACTGGGGAAGAATCCAAGCTCATTCAGGTTGTTGGCAGAATTTATTTCCCAGCAGCTGTAGGATTTAGGGACCCAGCTTCTTACTGACTACTGGCTGGAGGCTACTCAGGTCTTAGAGGCCACACACAGCTTCCTGCCCTGTGGCTCTCTTCTCAGGCCCTCTCACACATGGCTGCGTGCTTTTTCAAAGCCAACAAGAGACACTCTCTCCTGTCTGCTAAGACAGAGTCTTCTATAACATAACATGATCATAGGAGTGACATCCCATTACTTTTGCCATATTCTATTGGTTAGATGCACAGGATCTGCCATTATCAAGGGAGAGGATTATACAGGGGGGTTATAAAGGGGTTATATTCATTGTGGGTCACCTTAGGATGTGTTTGCCACAGTGTGTTTTCTAATGTCCTGTAAGGATGAAAAAGTCTTGAACAAGTTCTCACCTACCTAGAGAAGCAAGTTGGCAGACACGATTTTCAGAGATTCATCCAGGGCCTTATGTTTCTCTGGCTATAGGGTTCCACACCAGGAACTCTGCAGAAACTGGCATTGTTGTTTGCTAAAGATCTTTATAACCTTTCTAAGTATCTAATCAAATAACTCAAGATGGTAACCTGTCACTCTCTGCTTTCTGTCTAGTTAGAAGATTCTAGGTGTACTACTCATACCCTTAGAGAAGACATTTCACAATGTTTAAAGGTTGTAGGCTATGAATTCAGCAATAATTTCCTGCTGGCTCCATGACTGCAAGGTGCTATAGGATATAAACAGAAGATGACCCCAATCCTGTCTTCTTAGAATTTGCATCCCTGTTGGCAAGAAAAAAACAAGAAAAATGTCCAAGAATGCAATTCTGCTCTAATGTCATCCCTTCCATGCTGAGCCCTCCAGTCACAGATTCCTCCTCTCAGCATGCACATAAATATACAGCCTTTTGTTCTATGCCCTCACAAGTCCTGTTTGATTATGCACCTGAGATATTTCTCTCCCACTATACTGGGAGCTCCCTGAGGGTAGGGGTGACATACTCATATCTATATGTCCAAGACCTAGAATCATCCCTGACACAAAGCCATTGCTTATGATAGGTTTAGATGAATGGATGTATGGATGGCTGGATATATGGATTATAGCAAAAGAGCTGTGAAATGGAAAATATTGTAGGACTCCAGGTGTAAAACCTTGTTCAGGTCATAACACTTCTCTGAACTTGTATGCAGTTTCTCCATTAGTAAAAATGAAATTGTACAATATTCAGCAAAAGATCCAGACATAAATGAGTATTCTCTTCTAAAATCCATATAATATAAAATTCAAGATCAGGCAAAACTAATCTAAGGTCAGAATGGGAGGGTGAAGAGAGCTTCCTAGGAGGGAGCCTAAAGAAGTCTTCTAGGGTACTAGAAATAGTCTATGACCTTATCTGGTCACATAGTGTAAACATGTGAAAACTCTGTCAAGCTATGCATTTCAGGTTCCTGGGGTTTGCTTTATGTAACTCATACTTCGATCTTTAAAGATTATGGAGTGTGCCTGAGGGCTCTGTGTAAAGAACACAGCCCCATTCCTGCATAAAGAGTCAGTATTCTGATCAGGAAAAGTGATGTCAATGGTGTGATCATCTCAAAGAATCCAGCAAGCATCAGAGTACTTCTCAGTTGTTTAATCCAATGTTCCTGCATCTTGCTGACGTAGGCAGGTGACTCCAGAGGAATGTTTTCATTTCCTCTGGGCCACTTTATCTTTCTCTGCAAACCCTGAAGATCAAATGCTGCGTCATTAAATGACTCCCTGAAGCCTTCCTTGAGGCTAGGGAACAATGTTCCCACTGTCAGAGAGATGGGCAGCTCTCTCATGGGATCATATCTGCAAGGTTACATTCTGGTCTGGGCCTAGATAAGGAGCTCAGTGACACCTTCTAGCAAAAGGTCAGCTGTGCTCACTCATTTGGTGGAGGCCTGTGAAGATGCACCCAGGGCTGCTCCTAACGTGATTTCTCTGTTGCAGATTTTCTGCAGCCATGAACAAGTAACTTCTGAATGTTCTCTTGATATCTCCACCTTAATTTTTTAAAATGTGAGAAGTTGCACATTATTGGATGCGCATGGAAGCCTCTAGAGATGGCAGAATAAAATAGCTTTTCTAAACACACATACTTTTGGAGAAATGGTGTCTCCAAGTGAGTATATTGGATGTTGGTAAGAAACAATTACTCCAAGTCATGTGATCGTGCTCCCTTTCCTAAACTCAAACTCTACCTGAACCTACCCAAATTTGAGACATTTTGTCACATAAGCAAGAACCTGCTCTTTGCTTGTTGGGTTCATGTCACTCATATAAGAAGACTGTCAGTTCATTCACAGCCAGTCCATGCCTCAAGCATGTCCTTCTTCTCCACAGTCCCTGGTCCAGGGCTGGGCACACCCTCTATGATCATTCAATAGTTGGTGACTTAAGTACATGTCCAAATCTGGCAGTTATATAGTTCAAGCATAGAATAGCAGCCCTCACCAAGAACTGGCCCTTGCACTAGACAAGTACTGGGAGAAATAACATATTAGGCCTCAAGATGCTCACTGTCAAGTGGAAAGAGAGGAGGAGAGGAGAACTTGATAAGCTACATCTTTTTACTCTGATAGAAGCCCAGGAGAGTGGGTAAACGGGAGTATCATTTGCTCCCTGCACACCATCTGTTCAGTCTTTGTTTTATCAATAAAGAAATGGCAGCAGAAGAACGATTACCATTTATGAAGCTCTTGTCTCTCAGCCCTGAACAACCCCTTCTAGTCTCTGTTCAGTTATATTTGGCTAGAAATCAGAAAACGTGCAAATCACAGTGCTCCCTAACGACTGGCTCTGTGTTAGTTTCTGCCAACAGGGGGCACTGGAGGGAGGATGCAAGGCAGGGGGAGGGTTGCTCCTGTAGCTCACCCAGTGGTGGTTCTTCACCTTGGCATTGAACTTGGTTCTGGTTTCCCATTTTCCCACACTCCCAGAACCAGCCGCACCATACCCCTCAGAGGTACCAGCAGCCTCTGGCAGTACCCTGTTCTCCAAGGTCTGAGCCTCTGCTCTGGGAGGCCCTCCTCCAAGGACCTAAGATACCAACACCAGCCAAGTGATGGTCCCTCCTCTGAAGGCTGAGCTGTGGTTCTATGAGCCCCACTTCTCCAAGCTTCTGTCCTCTGTTCCCTTGGCCTTGGGGGTGGAGGCTGCTTCCTGTGGTTATATCTCTATGTTACCTCAGGGTAGGCCTCCCATGCCTGTTTAATCAACTCCCTCCTTAAACTCTGCTAAAACAAATGGTGTGGTTCTGGTCTTCTAACCATGACCCTGGTTGGTACAGAAGGGAGGTGATGAGATTGTAGACAAGTTAATTCACCTCTTGCAAAATTCCATTTTCTTTTTCTGCAAAAATGGGTATAATAATAGTACCCATGTCATATGGTTGTGAAAAGGAATTATTGGAGTGATGTTGGTAAAGTCCTATCTGTACTACTTGGCACATAGTATTTGGCAGAATGGGAACCAGGATCTAGGCTTCATGATCCAAGATCTTAATTTTTCTGTCGGATATATCCACCATATCTATAGACTGATATGACCAAAGAGAGTGCAGCATAGCAAACGAGTGGGCCTTAGAGCCAAACTATCTAGATTCAAATCCTCCCTCCACCATTTACTACCTATGTGACCTATGGCAAGTTACTTAACCTCTCTGTACCTTGGTTTCCCCATGGTAAAATGGTGGTAGCAGAACCTGTCATAGGGATATTAATACAATATCAATCACTTAGAATAGTACAAATATTTCTAATTTTCTGCCTTCTGGGAACATAGCATTGCACTTAGAATAGTACCTAGCATGTAGAAGAACAGTACCTGACATCATCATCATCATCAAGAATCGATTGTGGCAAAGCAGGAGTGCAGTTCTCGTCACAAACACCTGTGTTTAAATCTCCTTGACTGCATGAGCCTCTCCTTGACTGAGTGTCTTGACAAGTCACTTTACTTACATGAACCGCAGTTTCCCCAGCCCAATAAGAAGACATATCTCACAGGTTGGAGGGTAAACATAATACAGCATGCAAAATGGGCAGTATAATGTCTGGCAAGCAAATGCTTGATAAAAAGCATCTGCTGCTGTGACTAATTTCATCAAATCTGATGGCCCCCAAAATCTCTTTTTTGGATCATTGGTCTATGCATGAAGTAAGTTTAGAACAAGGATAATACTTTGATTTGTCATTGTAAAAAAGGGAAGTGGATCTGTATCTTAAAGGTTTCCCACACTGAGGGATGATACTCTTAGATGATAAACAACAAGAACTTTCAACCAGGAAGAGGGAAGTAGAAGCTCGGAATGTTAACTCCACGCTACTCACTGACTTGCTATCACATGGCCTACTGAAGTTATAAATTATAATTGACATCTTATCTACTTCCAAGAAGGATTTTCAGTGACCTACAATAAAAATGTTATACATTTAAAACTTAAAAGTCAGAAACAGATATCTGAACCCACAGGGGTGAAGGAGAAGCAGGGGGGGAATGAGTAAAGATTTTCCACCATGATCCTCAGTCAAAACAGTTATATTTTCAAGTATCAAGTAAATCCTTATTTCCAATGGGCAAGGTAAAAAGTGAAATATAATTGCTTATGCAATGCTCATTTTTGATTAGGGAAAGGTATAATTTTATTGAAAAAATTCCATGATACTAAATAGAAAACTTAATTAAATGAGACTTTAAGTAAGAAATATTGAATAGCATAATGGATAGTATCTTCCATGGTAGCTCTTGAGAATTATAAGAACTCATTATGTGACTTCTTATTACAGTGTCCAATAGAGGAAGGCTGTTGCAATACAAGATTGGTAAATTGTCTTTAAACCCATCAGAGATGACAGTCACAGCTTATTCAGGCCAGGAAGGAGAGTAGCACAATTTCTTAAGACAGTTCCAGAATGTAAATTATTTTTTCCTTTCAAAGAAAGACATGAACATGGTTGAGAATGGAAAGATGACAACTGGCTCTGGATGACTGATGGAAATACATAGGTACGTGACTGGGAGCAGTTCTTAAGGATCTGCCAATCTCCACGTGGTCCTCTTACCGTGTGGTCAGAACTGCCAATCCAATTCATCCCTCCGGGCTATTTCCTCTCACCTCCACTGCTCAGAGCAGCGCTTTTCTGGAAGCATGATTCTTCATTCTTGCCCTGTGACAGGGCCACTGTGGATCACGTCAAAATAACACACCCAGCCAAGAACAGTGATCAAAGTAGCAAAGGGGCCAAGAGATAAAAGAAAAATGCCAAAGGCCTGGACCTGAGGCAGGATACACAGAGCTGAAGAACTTCGGATTTAGAATGAGAAAATCTGGGCTCATATCCCACTTCCTCCACTTAACCATTTGTTAAGATTGTAAGCAAGTTAATTCACCTCTCAAAAATTCCATTTTCTTTTTCTTCAAAAATGGGTATAATCACAGCACTCACGTCATATGGTTGTGAGAAGGAATTATTGAAATGATGTTGGTAAAGTCCCCCCCACCATTAGTATTTGGCACATAGTGTTTAGTAAATGTCAGCTGTAATGACGAGGACTGAAAGAATGGTGATGTGATGCTTTGCATACAAAGATGATACTGTATCATTCTGCAGAGAGAGGTTATGCTGCAGTAAGAAACAGCATCAAAATCGTACTGCCTTAACACTGCCAGGTTTATTTCTTAACTATGCTACATGTGCAACATGCATTGTATTGACAGGGACTTGGCTCATGTAGTCACTTGGGGTCCCAGCCTGACAGAGGCTTTGAACTTTCACATGTGCCTCTAGGATTACAGCAGTGCCATTGAACTGGGCACCAGCTCTTAGAGCTTCTGTCCAAAAGTGTCACTTCTGCTCACACGCATTGTACAGCTGCCTGTTTTTCTACATGTTTTACTGCCACACAGCTATGCGTGCTCCATTGCACTGTGTGACTGCTCCCGTACTTCAACAGCGAAGTTGTGTAGTTGCAAGAGAGACTATATGGCCCATGAGCTGAAAATATTTTCTATCTAGTCCTTTGAGAAAAAGTTTGCCAATCCCTGCCTTGGTTTAGGTAGATCACATAGTCACACCTAACTTTGAAGCAGACAGGAAAATGTAATGCTATGCTATGTTCCCAGAAGGCAGAAAATTAGAAATATTTGGTAGACAGCACTGAAGACCACTGTTAGTCATCCCAGGCTACCAAAAGATAGGGCAGCATTTTTGCATTATTTTTCCAGATGCAGGCATGAATGTAAATGGAATGTAACATTGCTAGGCTAATCTGACCCAAGCACTACTTTGAGCAGGCAACATCCCTGCTCACTAACCTTCAATGGATCCCTAGTGTATTAAAGACAAAATCCCAACACCTCTGCTTGACACTTAAGACCCTCAAAAATCTGGCCCCTTTCACCTGGTCTACAATACACGTCCACTGTTCTTTGCCAGGATTCCTTTGCTTATATCTGTCAAATCTCCATCAAAAACTAAGACCATGTCCATGGTCACATAGCCAATGGCAGGCAGGGCTCTCCCCATGTCTGTCTGACTCCAGGGCACGTTCCCATTCTCTCTGCAGTGCTCTTGTTTTATCATGATACCTGTTACTTCTGCCACCCCTGTCCCCATCACCTCCTTTTTCTTTGACTCCGTGAGAAACGTAAGCCCTTATTTGCTGGTGCAGCCCAGACTTTCCCGTGGTTCAGGATGCCTTGCCAAAGCATGTGGACCAAGCCAGAGTCTGCCCTCATGACTCTTCCCCTTTGAGCTCGTGACCTCTTATCTTTCCGTCTGACTGCCACTAACCTAAAGAACAAGAAGATCCAGGAGGAACTGAGACCAGATTGAGACATGGGACAGAGGCTGCCATGTTCACCGGAGCAGGAGAGTGGCAGCCAGGTGAGCTGTACGGAGGAACGAGTGCAGGCACTCTGCTAGGGAAGGCCTGCCCTGGACAGAAGCTGGGCCATGGGTCCTCCTCCCCTCTACGTCCTGCTTCTTGTTCCCTGGGAGAAATGACAGCACAGCTGCCCTCTGAGAGATATCCCAAATGAAAACCACCTCAGTCCTGAACTGAATATCTAAGAAGATCAGCAAACTGCCCAGTTAAAAGTGACCCTGGAAAAGCTTTTGAGGACAGACACACTGGCCATAGGAGCAGGAGTGTAAAGAGTTTCTCTTGCAAGGTGGAGCAGCTCCCACTGCTTACTAGTTTTATTGGGCCCTAGAGCAGAGGACCCACCTCTAGGATAAGTAATATAACCAATGTTTCCTCAAGGTCCCTTCCAAATGGATCCAAACCTTTGTCCCTGGCATTTCTCCCTCAGAGCAGTACAGGAATACTCCTGGGAGCCCTCTGCTGCCTCTTTCCTCTGCACAAAGACCAAGGCTGAGCTGGTCCCAGAGAAAAGATGTTTTCCTAGCGCCCATCCAGTAGTTCAAACCATGGCCCGGAGAGGCAGACAGATCTGGATGTCAACTTGATCCCTTCTGTACTTAGCTGTGTGACTTTACATAAGTCACTTAACATCTCTGAGCCTCAGTTTCCTCATTATATAAAGTATCTGCCTTGTAGGGTTGATGGCATCTACATCAAAGCATTGATGTGTGCACAGGGCCTGGTACACAGTGAGAGCTCAGTAGGTGGCAGAGGCTATGACAGTAATGTCAGGCTGTAATTACTATCCTCCTACACCCTCTTCTCCTTAATTTAAGGCTCTGTCTTTTGCACTATCATTTGTTACAGACCCTCAAATTCCTTACCTGTTGATGAATTTATGTGTCTCTGCACAAGACAAGTCAGAGTACAGACTGGATCACATCCCAGTCACCAGTGGGGCAAAGCCACCTGCTCTGGGCCATTGCACTCTTGAGACTGTCAGCTCTTAACAGCCAAGGGAAACTTGAGCACAGCAACACCGTGAAATACCCATGCCCTTTCCCTCATACTAAAATATATCTGCTTCAAACTTAGCAAAACCTAACAGTGGATAAGGTCTTCTAGACCAAGACCAAAAGAAGTTAAAAATAGAACTTAGAAAAGGGGCTGCTTTATTTACAAGTACTGGTCTGTTTCTCAGATCGATTATTCTACATGCTCTGTTCTCACATGTATCTATAAAACTCTTTAGGATTTAGTAAGAGTCAGATTTGGGAGTTGTTTTTCTAATAGAGTAAGCAAGCTTATACCTCATGGATTAGGGGGTATTTTGCAATTACTAACTGCTATAACTAACCATGGAAAGTGATGCTTCATTTATCCAGTATGAAGTGAGAACTGGGTATGTTATATAAATTGCTTTAACAAACAACAAAGCATGATTGATCCCTCTTAGCTTCAAAACTCTAACATTCACCACTTTGTTGGAAGTTCTAAAGCATATCACATACTTTCCTGCCTCATTAAACAAAGCATGCTATAAATCAGTTAATCATCTCTCAATAACTCAAGACCATCACTATAAACATCAACCATTACACTAGGCTTTAGAACAATGACATGGTTTGAGAAGTACTGAGGCATGGGACTATTTTTTCCTACCTAGGTGATCCCAGAATTTGAGGTTCTTTTGGCTTGTCTTTATACTTCTATGACTCTTTCTTCACCATCAGCAGTCACTCCTTGATGGTTTGGGTATGCCTGCCTCAAATACCTTCTAATTTGCTTTTTCTCATCTTCTGTGAAGTAAGGAAGCAAATCAAGCTCATTAGAACTCTTTGTAAACCAGGAGGAAATAAGTTCCAAGTAAGGGTCCCAATGAGTAAAGAAGTGAACATTAGTGCATGGTCTTTGTGATATCTATCTCTTTGTGATATCTATCTTGGTTAATAGAAGGCTATTACAACCTCCTGAATTTGTTCATTTCACACCAGTGCAATGAACCTACCTGTTGAGACAAAGCTATAATAATAATTTTTTAAGAAGAAAGATAAAAGGAAGAATGAATACTTACCAAGTGCTTATAAGATGCCAGGCAGTGTTCTAGACTTTGTATATACAAATTAGTTTGGATATGCAGGCCCATGAGGAGATACTGCTTTATTCCCATTCTGCAGATGTGGACTCAGAGGCAGAGACAGGACTGACCACATTGGGCTAATGTGGAAAATCAGGTTCTGGAGGAATGACAGAGTCACATTTGCTGGTATAGGCATGGATCCTGCAGGAACCCCAATAATGTGTGTGTGTAGACATAGGAGAGTTTAGGAGGATGAGGAGGGCAGGGCACAGGCAGGAAACCGGCATGGCAAGAGTCCCTCTTTGTTGTGGTCAAGGGTGAGAGGAGATGTGGATGTCCCTTAACCAAGTACCTTAGTGGCTTATAGTTCCCTAATGCAGCCACTTTGATTCTGGGACAGAAGACACGCCAGGGAGATGGAAGCTGGTGGAGCTGGCTGAGCCCTGGGGTGACTGATGACTTCTCACCCTGGTCAGCATCACCTTGAGAACAGAAATGACCGGAGAGGGGCCTGGGCCAGCAGTCATGGCCCAAGGGGGACTGACCTGTCTGCTGACCGGCCACATCTGCTCCTCGGGTTCTTGTAGTAACTATCTGTAACCTCTAGATTAGCTGAGGGTGATGCAGTCCCTCTCCACTACCTCCTTACCAGGAGGTAAGACACAGTTTAAGCAGATCTTGGATGAAATTTATTAGCAAGCCTGCATAGTCATGTGAGCAGTTTTTGTAGCTCAGGGAAGTCCCCATCTTGGCCCTCTGACACCTCAGCCCACACCCAACATCTGAGAAGGCTGCAATATTCCAGGATTATAGAGGACTCAGGCACTAGAGGTCTTCCCTGAAGCAGGGTCCTTGAGACCCTCAGTCAGTTGGCCTAGAGCACAGTACTGAACCCAGGGAATGGGGTTGCTGATTCTTATATCTCCTTCATGCAGGGGGTGTGGCCTAGACAATCTTTATAACCAATCACTGATCTTGAACATCACTCCTCACACCAGTGAAAATTCATTTCTCACATACGTTGTGCTAATTTACAAATCCTCTGGTATAGATTTCGAGCATACTTAGAATGCTGAATAACTACCTCTGGAAGGTTGATTCCTGATTAGGATATTTCAAATGCTAAGTGCTTACTCCTTGTGGACTGGAGTTCAGTTATGCCCACATCCCTGCTGCACTTTTTAATATGGAAATATTTTAAAGCAAAGTATCACACCGTCACCATCTGAGCTAGGCTCAGGGGGCAGGGCTGGTCATTCTGATAGACAAAGATAGCCAGGGAGGATGTTCCAAGTAAGAAACCCCAAAAGCAAAGGCTTAGAAGCAGCAAAGCCCAAATGGGTTCAGGGAATTGTAAATTCTACTGGGCGAGTTTAATAGGCTATTGAATAGACCTTGTTGGGAGGAGGCAAGAGGGAAGCAGAGGTGTAGGGCATTGTAGTTAAATAAGTTAAACAGTTGTCTTTATACAGGGTTTGTTGGGACCTATGATGTACTTACTAATATGCATGGTGACTCTCTGGGAAGATCTGCGGCATTTCTCAAATTACGTTGTCTGTGGAATCATATTTCTACAGAACACCTTAAGGAACTATATTCTGAGAAATATAATTTAAGAAACACACTATAAAAATGTGTGAGGTAAAGCTGGATCTTACCAGCTAGGAAATACTGGGCTGTTGACTGGAGAGAAAAAATAAATTTACTTACTGGGCTAAGGATTGCAATATCAAAATAATGGGTCCTTTCAGCAGGATGGAGGGAACACAAGCATCAAGTGTCCACTAGAGATGAGAAAAGAAAGCTATTTTCATAAAGCCCTTGAAATGAGCTACCATGGAAGGCAAGAGGTATGACAAAAGAAGAAGACTAAGAGTGCAGAATATGCCTAGTGACCCACAGCAAGCAAAAGATGGGAAATGGTGAGAAACAACATTCCAGGGCTTGAATACCTACGGACATCACACACAGAGTCTCAATAAGAAGTAAAATAGTCATAAATTGATACCATACTGCAGTAAATAGGATCTCCGAGAAAGAGCCAGGTGAAGCTTGCAGTACTGGAGGGGTGCATTCTATTCAAAAGACCCAGGTGAAGCTGACTTTGCATCTGGGAAGACACAGCTCAGTGGACAATCACCTGCAGGAGGACACCCAAAACAGAAAGAGGAAGAGAAGCGGTGCAGCTGTGGAAGGAGGGGTGGAAGGGATTGAGACAAAATAACTCTGGGTAGAGAAAGTTGCATGTGTTTCAGAGGAGGCTGCAATCTATACTGTTTCATGGTTTCCAGAAGCCAGGCAATTTTCACACTAGAACAAAACAGACTAATCAATGGCACCCTAACTTTTTTTTTTTTTTGAGACAGAGTCTCGCTCTCTCACCCAGGCTGGAGTGCAGTGGCATAATCTCGAC